CCCACAGGAGGCCGCTCCATGCCCGCAGCCCCGGGGAGAGTCAGGCTGGGCAGGCCCGCGGGCGACGCAGCTTTTTTCTCTGAAACGTCTCTATTCCGAGTGTCACTTACAAGCTGTGTCTTGGGCCGGCCACCTGCCTCCTGGCCTCCACTTCCTGCCTTTAGGACGGGGCCTGGACACTGGGCTGGGGGACAGGGAGGGGCCTGGACGCTGAGCTGGGAGACAGGAGGGCCCCTGTGCCGTGGGTCAGAGAGAGACATCGACCCACAGAAGCACAGAGCCCTGGCCCCTCCCGCGTGGGCTGGGGAGTCAGCACCCGCCAGTCGGCATCACCCACACGCGTGTCTGCTCAACCTTCTCAATAAACTGGACGCACGGTGTGTCCCGCCCCCGAGTGCGCTGCGCGCACGGTCCAGCCAGGGTCCCCGTCACGCGGACAAATTGTGCGTCGTTGCGCGTCCGCCCTTGGGCTTGGGGCAGCAGCCTCCCCCACAGGATGCAGCGTCCACTCGGGGGTTGGGCGGCTCTGGCCCCAGGGCAGCGGGGTGTCAGGGTTCCCCCCTTGACCAGACTCTGGCCTTTGCCTTCCAGATCCCGACTGGGCCTCCTACACCCTGGGCGTGTTCATCTGCCTGAGCTGCTCCGCCATCCACCGCAACATCCCGGAGGTCAGCAAGGTCAAGTCCGTCCGCCTGGACGCCTGGGAGGAGGCCCAAGTGGAGGTACTGCCGGGGGGTGCTCAGGCCGCCCGGGCCCTCGAAGGCCCCTTCATCCTGGTGCTCCAGGCTCCAGGGCTGGGCCTGGGGGGCCCTGAGGCTGGGGACCCGTCTGGGGTGGTTCCCCCCCCCCCCCCGTCCCTTGTGGGGCAGCTGCAGGGAGAGGGTGAAGGGCCCCTCCACCGGCAGCTCCTGGGGCTTTGGTCCTCGCGTCCCAGCACCCAGGGGCCGTGCTCAGCTGTGCCGAGGACTGGCCCCCCCGCTCTTAGGGTTTTACCGCTCACCCTCGTGGGCGCCACGGAGGTCACGACCACGCCCACCCTGACCCACGTCTGCTGAGCTCTCGCTGCAGGGGGGCTGGGGAGGTTGCTGGCCCCAGGGAAGGCCTTAGGGAGGGGGACAGGCGGGTCCCCTCCTCAGCCCAAATGAGGTGGAGAGGCAGCAGGCACGGCTGGGGAGGCCCCAGGTGGGGTGTGGGGCAGAGGAGGGGGTGGAGCAGGTGGGGCCTGGCCCCCTGGCGGATGGGGAGGCAGGCAGGGAGCTGCTGCGATCCTAGGGCAGGAGGCTCTGGGCTGGAAGTCACACGCGGGGAGACGCCTGTCAGGAAGGAGGGGAGAAGCGTCCAGAACCGTGAGCTGCTGGGACCGGGGCGAGGCACGGGATGCTGGACGGGGCAGGGCCTCGGCCCTTCATGCCCCGTGTTGTCCTTAAAGCAGAGGTGGCCCCATGGACGGACACGTGGGTCTCGTCTCCTCCCACTGTGACCCGGGCCAGTGACCAGGCTGGTACCGGTGGGGTTGGGGGTCAGGGAAGCCCCAGCTCCCAGGGGACGTGCACCGTCAGGGTCGGACTGCGGCCGAGAGGTCTGCCCGTCCTGTCCCCCACCCTGTCCCCGTCCTGTCCCCCGCCCTGTCCCCGTCCCCCACGCTGGCTCTGAGGCGGGCCCTTTGCTGAGGGGAAGGAGTGACTGGCCCCGAAGGGTCTTCGTGTGGATTCCCTCGTCTTGGAGGAAGTCGCGCGTCCGTGTGAGGTTTGGGGGTCCCCCGTCTCCTGCCGGCCGGGCTAGTGACCCCATTTTCCCGCGGTTCTTGCACGTCAGGGAGGTGAGCCCTCGGAAGCAGCAGTGGCTGTTTTTCTGGGTTCCTTGTCGTGACGTCGCTCAAGGGGGTTTCGCAGTGGAAACGTTCCCCTTTGATGTCAGACGTGTCAGCCGTTCCTTCGTGGTTTGAGGGTTTCTAGCAAATTCGGGCCGCGCTACCCCACAACTATTTTTACTCATCACAGCTTCATTGAGAGTAACTCACACGCCACACAACCCGCCCTTTTAAAGCGCGAAGTTCCCAGGCTGTGCAGCCACCGGCATCTAATTTCAGAACATCTTCACGTCCCGGAATAAACCGGCACCGTCCGCCGCCCTCCCCAGCTCCCCGCTCCCGCCCCTGGGGGGGCATCCGCTGAG